AACCGAAACTGGGGGCAAGCGAGGCAGTTTTAGCGCTTCCGCTGCATTGTTGCCAGACATGCTGTTGTCAGACATGCGCTCGTTAAGCCACTCACTTGCAGCGGGTCGCAACGTTGATTTCGATCCGTTGACGCGATGTTGATCAAGCTTACTCAAGCTCACGTTCAGTCAACGGTGGCAGCCGCCGCGCTGGCAAACACCCCCAGATGGCAGTGTCATGGACGCAACGTCCCCGGCCGCCGCCATTTGAGGTCGACGCTGGCTGATGACCTCGACGCGTTATCGAGGCTCGTTCGACCATGCTATCGCCGTACGCCACTTCGGCGTGTCGATTGGGCACGCGGAGGGACATGGGGAGCTGTTGCGAGAGTGGAAGTGGAGAGCGCTGCCAAGACCTGGCGCTGCCGACCGAGGCATTGAAATGCCGGTGTCGACGCGGAAGACGCGGCGGCGCTTCTGATCGATGCAAGCGAGAGGTTCTCGACTCGCTGGCGGTAAGGATTTATGGGTGTGCAGACAGAAACGAAAGGGAAACGAGTGCCGACCACCTCGAACCGTGAGTCAGACTCACAGCGGCTGAAGAAGACAGAGATTTCAGAGCGCATCACAACGTGAAGCCCCGGTGTGCGCTCGGGACCTACAGCATGGCCGCGATTGACGGCTCGGATAGAAACAAAGGGAATCTCGGCAAGGCAAAGTTTTGTCCGTACTCCCACGCCGCCCCTCGAAGCGATCCAGGTAGGGGCGCGCCTCGGCTCCGCGCTCCCGGTCGAAGTACGTCGTTCAGGTTCGAGCGCAGTGAATTTGTCCGCAGCCTGTTCCTGACGGGCCAGTCCAGAATGACCATGATGCTTTGTTGGTCGAAGAACAACAGCGAAGGGAGGGCCCGCGGCAACACGTCCGATGTCTTGCGCACGGCAGTGGCGACCAGAACTGGTACGTGGTCTTGCTGGTACGCAGCGCACAGCACATACTCTAGAACGCTGTCATGCGGGGGGAAGGCACGAGGCTCGAGCATGGTTCGACCAAGCGACATGCGACGCGACACCGGGCGCCGGCGAGGTCAGGGCTTCGTCTGGTGTAACTCGCAATAATTTTCTGCTCCCACCGCCCACAGCTCGCGCTTGGGATGGTCGGTTTCTTCTGTTTTTCTTTGCATTTAAATTGTATCTTGTCTGCTGCGGCTAGAGAGTTAGGTGTGACAGGTGTGTTTGCGAGACTCGCCAAACTCGCCAAATCTCACGTCGGTCTGCACCGCATTGCATGTTTCCGAGGCGTGCGACACCAAGTTCCGCTCTACTGTGCATGGCGGGGTGACCAAGAGATGCAGCATCTCGATTTGTAACTTGCGGTGTGCGTATCGATACAGCATGTGACGAGGCCAGGTCCTGACCACATGTCAAGGCGTCAAATTGTCGGAGTGGCAAGTTGCTGTCTCTGGTGGCACGCAGAGCTAATAAGAACAGGCGCAGTTCGACTGCACTGCTAGCCGTCGTTGCTTGGATCTCCGCCCGCTCGAGCTGCTGTCAGCTCGACCGCGCCCAGTAATCGAGCGCATCTGGTGCGTGGCGCACGCCTTCGTCGGAGGTTGAAGCGCACGGAAAAAATCCCACAGACCAAGCAGCTCAACTGTAGTTTTGGGCGTGCTTTGGCTACTTCCGCAGGGCCGCATGTCTCGCCGATCCTTGTCGGCTTGCGTAGCGCCCCGCGCTGCCACCCGGCCTGAGACACGAGCATCAAGTGTTCGGTAAAAGGGATGATGCGCGGACGCCACGAGCACTTTAGCGCCGCAGCAAATTTTGGTCTGCTGCAAATGAGGAGGCGGCTTTCTGGCTGCGTCCGGCTTGGGCTGCCCTTCGCATGCAGGGTTGCCTCGAGGCACGCGCCACCTCATCTCGCTTGCTCCTGTCCGCTCTTCTCGCATCCACACCCCTTGCCTTACCTTGCGCTGTCTTGCCTCGGCTCGGCTCGGCTGGCTCTTCTGACAGAGACAGAGACAATGCTCCAGAAGCGCAGGAATCCGTATCTCGGCGACGGATCCACCTCCGACAGACTGCCTGCTCGGACGTCATGCTCTTCGTTCGCCCGGGCCGAGGATGGACAACACGCATTCACAAAGGCAGCCTCGTAGGAATCTTCACATGCTTGTTTAGCAACTTGTTGCTGCTTGAACAAAGAACCTATGATGATCGCTACGGCTGCGATTGTTCATCGTGGCGGTACCGGAACTGCCAGGTTTGCCCGGCAAGCTGCGCCTTCAACAGGACGCTCCGGCTGTTGTCGCCTGACCAAGCACCCGCTTCTCGGACCACACCCGTCTTTTGAGTCGCTTCCGGCCTGAGTCGACGAGATTGCAGTATGCACATGGCCATGTCCTCAAATATTTTCCGATCTTGCGCCAGCTCAGAAGCTGGTCATCAGCAGCAGGGTTGCGATGCGCTGCACTTCCCCTCTTCTTTCACACCTGATCCCCCTATTCTCTGTGATCAGGACACTTCGCAGCAATGCTTCCGGAGACACGATAGACTCAACGCAGTGCGGACTGCGACGGCCAGGCAGCTCGACTCAGCATAAGTTGTGGCTGATACAGCCGCAGCTACCGGTGAGCCGCCACTGTCTTTTTTTAAAATATGTTATTTTGTTTTATTTAGTTTTACGCTCGGCTTGGGCGCGTGGCTGCAACCCATATCTGGGTTGTTCCGGGAGATAACTTTAACGCGACACATCAACAAGACCTCAACGCCGCCACGAGTCTACTGCGTCCACGGCCCAGCCTCGCATGCATCTGAGTGGCTGGCTCGACGCTTGGCCGGTTCCGCTTCGTCGCCTGCATGCACAGTCGCCTGTGTCCTCTGACGTGTCCTGCCAACCGCAACACCTTTGCTGCAGCGCAGGGTGGTGCTACAGTATGCTTTTGACCGGCATGTCTCGCATCGCCGCGACGCTCAAGATCCGTTGCAACGGTGCGTCTTGCTGCCGCTTCTGCCAAATTGCGTTCCGAGCAACATGCCGCATTCTCGAAGCTGCTCGTGTTACCCGGCACTCAGCACGCCGCCTTCTCCGATCCATGTCACAGCCTGGGTGCTTGCCTGCCTGGGTGATCCGCTGATGTGGCTCGCAACCTGTCCAGTCACGGCCTTCTCCCGAACTCTGGTGCCTCCACCCTCCCCCGCCTTACCCTGAGCCGACTGCCCGCCGTCTGAGGCTGCTTGCGCTCGCCCGCACTGCTCTCGCCCAACACGCCGGCCCGACCAGTGGATACTCTTGGCACCGGTGGCACACTCCTTTACGTGGAGCACGACGCCCTTCCTCTTGCCTCCGCACCGCCATCCCTGTCCTGACCGATTCATTCCGCTCTCTTCACCTTCTCTCATCCTGCTTTCGCGTGCCAGTAGTCCACTTCGCAGATCCACTGCCGCAGCAGCAGCAGCAGGAGACCTTCACCACGGAGATACTTTCAACTGTAGCTGTTGCTCGGTATCTTGCCAACAGCGGCTTGGTCTGTGGCGTTGGAGCGAAGACGATTGCGCAAAACTCAGTCGCGAGCTTCATCTTCCTGGATCTAGACGTTGCTTCCGCCGCCAACCCGCAAGACATAGCAAGATTGGTTGCACCCGAACCCACCCGCCTCGCCCCGCATCAGTGTCACCACGTGGGACGACCGTGCACCTCATATCAGACCCCTGCCACATTGCATCATCTGCACCACTTCGACGAGCGCTTACAAGCGGCTAAGCTCTGGTTCAATACTGGAGTGTGACCGCATTCCGGCAACGCTTCACATTTTGCGACAGCTGTGCAGCCTCTGTCACGCGAGTACTCGCCGCCGGCTTGGTCCCACCCACCGCCGCGTGCACACTTGCCAACCACGTGCGATCGGAATCTCTGCATACCAGCACTTGGCCGCGACCTCATCTGTCCGACGTCAGCCTCTGCCCTGTACCCTGGGCGCTGCATCTGCAGTTTGGCGCCGTCCCCTTCATCTAGGACCTCGGGTGGGATCATTCAAGTCATATTCGACACCCACTCCATAGCGCTCGCTTCATCCGCCCCTTGCCGCTCCAGGTACAGCCGCTGCAGGAGCCAAGTACACCGACGTCACTTCTCATATCTTCACCCGCCTTTTCCGCCAAGACAGGCTCTGGACAGCACCCACTCTTCCACGCGCCAGGCTGCCGGTCAACGCCAAAGGTCTTTGATTCGGCCCAGAGACAGCTGCATCACGTAGGCGCGAAGCCGTCGCCCTGCGTCGCCTCATCTCACGCCCTCGCCGACACACTGCGCGCTTGGGCGCACCACTTTCGGTACCACCACCTCCTCCTCATTTGCGCGCCTCTGCACCTTGACGCCACTCTCCGCTCGATTCTCACGTCGATGCCCTTCTATATCCAAGCTCTCGTACCCTGCATCTTCTCGACGCACGCGTACCTCGCTCTGGGAATATAAAGAGCAAAAGGTTGAGCGATTGCCGCGGCGTTCCCCCACACCATATCCGTTCGCCGTCCTCCCCTTTCCCCCCCTTCCCTAGGCTATCCTTCCGGCCGTTTTTCCCTTTCCCTTTAACCCCCCTTCCCCGATCGTACCTTCTCATCCTTTTCTTGCATCCGGTTCTCTTCCTCTCCTTCCCTTCGGTATCTCCCTCCGCCCATCTTTCAACCTGGATTCCCCTTCACTACCTCTCCCACTTTTCAGCTTTCCGTTCCACCCTTTCTTTTTCTGCAACCGACTCTTTTCTCCGGTCCAGCATCACCTCTATCTTCTGCCGAATCCCCTCTGCTGCCAATCTCGCCCATCTGCCTGGCTCACGCAACTTCTGCGATCTGATCGCTTTTTCCTCAATCGATCATAGTGGCGAGGTGTCCTCCGACCTCTTAGCTGCAGCGAAGGTTTGCATTTTTCTTCCCAATCATCGCATCCACCCCGAAGCTCGATCGACCCGGACGTAGATGCATCAGCGTCTCAGATTCTCGGATCCGTACGACATCATCTAGCTTGCTGCAGACGACATCTCAACGCCTCTCCCTGGCCCGTCGATTCCGGCCATGTCTGGCGTCACCATCGGCGCCTCGCACGAGGCTTCCGACAGAGCGCCACGCGATGTGCATCGGCAAACACCTACCTGTAATCCATCAACGACAAATCCGGGTCGGGACTCCTCGAAATCCTCCGATACGTCACCCACAAAACGCCTGTCTCGGCCATGGGACCGTGCCACTTTTCAACCTACAGTCGATCAAGGGCAAGATTCGGTCGAAGAAGACGAGCTGAGCGATGATGCATCGCTAGCTGCGTCCGCGAGTCGCAGCTCCTATCGCGCCTCTTCATCTCGCCGACGTTTGGTTTCACCAAGACGCAGCGACGATATCAAGATGGTGGATGCACCTAGCTCGAAGCGTCCCAAGCCATCTAACTCGGAGGCGTCCCCGACATCCAAGGTGAGCAAGGCGTTCTTGCCCTAGACTTGTGCTCCACGTCGAGAAGGCAATGATGCTGACCAGTGCTTTTCTTCGCTCCCACCGTGACACTTGTAGCCTGTCGAGACAATGCAGCGACTGTCGACGAGGGAAGATGACCCCGGCGTCAGAATCCCTCGCAATCGATCGTCCTCGCCACCTAGGCGGGACGACCTCGGCTTCGATGCCGCTTCGCTGCGCCTGCTCTCGCCACAGGAGGTTGAAAAATTCCTCGACCTCATCTTCAAACACCATCCCGAGCCCATGACGGCCGAAAGCATGCGTCAAAGCGTCGACGCCCTCTATAGCGATTGGGCTCAGTACTGTGCGCAGCGCCAGGTCCCGGTCAAACTGGCCAAAAAGCCTCTGATGGACGAATATGCCAAGATCTTCAACGGCGTCTACGGTCCCTCACTTCAGGACAAAGCTCGGTCGATCGCGCAAGAGCTGTCGAACCGGCCGGCGAATGCGCCAACGTATGGCGACGCCGCGAGCGACAAGAGGGCGCAGAAGGGAGCGAGCTCGAGTCGGCGCAGCCAGACGTCCTCATCAATGGACGAGGACAGCGATGAGGACGCCAGCGAAGCAGTCGACGGCCCGGTCGGACGCGATGTGGAAGCATCCGAGGGCGCATCACCGGAGCGCGCCGGAGGAAAGGGCAAGAAGAACATCGCTCAGGTGGGCCGCAACGGTCTCGCGGTGCTTCCGCCCGGGCTGTTTGACATTCTTCGCAACCATCTGCGCGACGACATCCTGTCGAGCATCATGCCTTCGGTGCGCACCGACTTGACCGAGCAGACACGCGAGCTGTTTCTCCAGAACCAAGACCTCTTTGGGCGTCTCAAGGAGATGGAGGAACGCGTGCGCAACCAAGAGCTGTGGATCCGACATCTACTCGCTCGAGACCCGGCCGACGGAGCGAGTCCGCATGTCGGGCCTGGGCATGGACCTCATTTGGTCGATGCTGGACTGGCAGGCGCAGACGCTGCTGCAGGTATGGCTGCCAAGCCGAGGCCATTCTCTGCCGCGACAAGGGATCCGGCGGGTCTGGTGAGACATGCTCGTCGCGCCGCTTCGTCTTCAGACCACGAGTTTGGTCCATTGACGGGCGATTACTTTGGCGGCAACGCGCCATTGTCTCCGCGCCAAGCCGGGCGAATGGATCCGAGGGCTGCGCACGCTCCCGGCGTGCATTCTTCGCTCGCATGGGAAGGTCGATCGAGTGCCGGAGGCGTCGAACCTACGGCTGGGACGGTACGCGGGCAGGCGCCTCCCTTCGCCACCGGTCGTCGCGAGCCAGAGGCCGCGCATGTAGGAGGATACCGGGAAGTGGCGCCTTCCGAACGAAGGCTCTCGTACGCCAACGAGGCATATCGGAGACCGAGCTCGTGGCAGAGTGAGCCGCACGGCGGCAGAGGCTCTATCTCGCACAACCACAGCGGTGGTCATGGCGACTTGGCATTCCAACCTCCTAGCGGACCGACTCTTGCAGAGACGCGCCGAATGAGCGCCTTCAGTGGCAGCGGCGCGGCGACACGCGGTGGCGCGCCACCTTCAGGCGCACCTGGAGTGCACGAAGAGTTCCGTCGACCAGGGCCATCGATGTACCCGCGAGACTCGGCCATGTCGCCGGGAGAGCCGGCTTACGAGATCCGACGTGCTCCGCCCGGCTTTGGTGCGAGTCAGTCGGAGTCGTACTTTGGTGATGCGGGCGAGGGCATAAAGGCGCCTCTTCCGCCAAGGGCGGGCATGCCCGACTCGCCCGGGCTGATGCAGCGCAACAAGCGCGGTCGACCCAGCAAGTTTGAGCTGACACAAACGCGGCCGGATGGCGGCGCGCCAGGTCGCGGCGCTGCGTTTGGTGCCAACTCGCATCCCTCCTCGACACAGCCCCGACCGTATCTCTCGTAAGGGCTTGTCTCTCAAAAGATCGCACTATGCCGTATGCACCCTCATGTCGGCACTGCACACGACTCGTCACCCAGTGAATTTGCTAATCAGTAACTCGATTTAATTTGTACATCTAAACAAGGCGAGTGGGCGTGTGTGCGGCGAGCGATGCTTGGAGGTGCCGCGTTTTTCTAGCCCGAGCAGACGGGGAGGGAGGTGTTGTTTTCGCGGGTGAAGGCGAGAATGTGGTCGTTGATGACGCGATGGGTGAAGCCGACCTCGCAGTAGACGAAGTAGTAGATCCATTTCCTGCGGAAGACGTCGACCTCGTGCTGCTGCTGTTGGGCGGGGAGGTTGCTGATCTCGTCGTGGTCGCGCAGGAGGGCGGGGCGGATGATCTTGTCAAAGTTGGCCTGGAATCGGTTGTTCCACTCGCGCAGCGTGCGCGAGTAGTGCGGGCCGATGCTGACGAGCGTGTCGAGGATGAGGTTGCCCTTGGAGCCGTCGGTGGCGCCGTTGACGAGCGAGGTGACCGAGGGGCACACGCCGCCGGGGAAGATCCATTTGCGGATGAAGTCGACGCCCTTGTAGTAGGCTTCGGCGCGCGATTCGGGCATGGTGATGCACTGGAAGACGGCGACGCCTCCCTGACGCTTGAGCACGCGGTCGACGCAGGAGAAGTAGATGGGCAGGAACTCGATGCCGACCGCCTCGAGCATCTCGATGGAGCAGACGCGGTCGAAGGAGTCGGTCCAGCTGGCGGGGAAGTCGCGGTAGTCCATGAGGTGGACCTTGATCTTGGACTCGAGGCCAGCCTCGGCGATGCGCTGCTCGGCAAGCGCCTTCTGTTCGACGGAGAGGGTGACGCTGTCGACGGTGCAGCCGGTCATGCGGACGGCCTCCATGGCGAAGGAACCCCAGCCGGTGCCGATTTCGAGGACGCGGTCGCCGGGGCGGATGTTGGCGCGACGGATGATGAGGCGGAGCTTGTTCTTCTGCGCCTCTTCGAGCTCGTCGTAGTCGGCTGCAGCCGACTGTGCCCGGGCGTGTGCATCGGCCTCGGAGGGAGGCGTAGGCAGGTCGTCTGTTCTCGGCACGCCTGTTGATGTGCTGTCGGAGTGGGCGGTGGCGTCGGAGGTGAATCGAAGAGGCTCAAAGACGCCGGCTGCGGCTGCCGGGTTGGGATGGCCGTTGGTGGCGGTGCCGAGAGCGGCGCGCGTCTGCTGGTTGATCTGAGCGAGCAAGGGCCCCGAGACGTCGGCATCGAGCGTGTCAAAGACGGCGCAGGAGTAGGTCATGTCTTTGGAGAGGAAGGCCTTGTACATGGTGTTGCTGATGTCGTAGTGTGCGCCGATGTTGCGCAGACTGCCGACCTTTGTATTGGCGTAGCGCTTGTTGAGCATGCCCTGTGCGGAGGCGATGAGGGAGCTTGCGAGGCTGACGTTCTCGAGGTTGTTGAGGCTGGTGCGGTTGAGGATGAAGAGGTCGAAGCAGGCGGCGAGGTCGGGGGTGTCTACGTCTCCGATCATGTATGCCTCTGCAAAACCGAGATCGGCGCCGAAGAACATGCGTGTCCAGAATGCATCGTTCTTGACGATGAGCACGGCGTGTGGTGCGGTAGCCGAGTTGGGTGCGACGGCAGGTGCAGCGGAGGATGACTTGAGCTTGGCTGCAGCGGTGGAGTCGGGTTCTTCGTGATTGTGCTGCTTGCTGCGAACGAGCGTGGGGTCACCGAAGCGGTGTACTTGACCCGAGGGCAGGCGCACCTCGAGTTCTCCGACAGTGAGCTTGGAGAAGAGGGCGAGGATGGAGGATCGCGCGATGGCGGCGGTAGGGCGTGCGAGCGTGGAGACGAGCGCCTGAGGCACGGGGATGGAGGGGAAGAGGCCGGTCATCGTGCGCGAAGGGGCCTAGTTGGAGGGCAAGCTCGACGTGAGGAAAGTTCGATTCCAGGAGCAGGGAAGCGGATGCTGGGATGAAGCCACGTTGAGGCGGCTATGGGCGGCGCGAGGATGGAAACGAGGTGAATCGCCAAGCGGGTCTCGATGGTGAAGGGGGTGGTGATGTCGGGAAGGGGGAGGATGGAGGAGGGAGCAGCCCGAGCAGGTTCTCAGTTATGGGCGTCGCGGGTGGGGTTGGGCGTGCGAAATGAAGGGGGAGCTGTCGGCTTAGGCAGCACAAGCGGAACGGATGGACGGACGGAGGAGAATGCCGCGGATGAGAGTGGGACAGAAGGATTGGCGTGACCGCGCACGGGCAGCACCAGGGTCCGCGGTGCGGAAGGCGATTGTCGGGCCAAGCGATTGGCCGCAGCGGGCGATCAGGCGATTTTGGGCATTGTAGTGTAGGCGGATTGGGAGAGCGGCGGATGGACGAGGGGAGCGGATGCCGCCGCGGATGGAGCTTGGGAGCGTGGCATGCCGTAAACGACAGGGCGGAGGGATTGGACAGATTGGCGGCCTGTCCTCCACTTTGCTTGCTGTACTGCGAGGACAGGCCTGGACGGGCCAACGCACAGGGTTCGGGAGGGCGAAGCGAGATTGGAGTGTTTCGGAGGGCGAGGCGGAGGCGGCCTAGAACTGTCGGATGAAGATCGACAGGTGTCGAGCCGCTTTGGTGGACGAGGCCAGCACCCTGCATACCTCCATCTGCGACGTTTGGGCGTATGCACGCTTACCTGTGCGATGCAAAGCGATGCCGTGCGCTGCTGTGCGGTCCTGTCACCGCAACGATCGTCGGGCGCGTCGCGAATGCAGCCGAATGCATAACGTGCATTTGCTGTCCCTGTCCGAAAGCCGAGGTTTTGGAACTGAATGTTGCACCGATATAAATCTAGCATCCGATCGTTGGTTCTTGTAAAATTCGAATCGCGATAATCGGCACATTTTGCGTCTGGCTAAATTTAGGCGAGTCGGCCAAGCCATGCGAGCCATGCGGGCCATGTGGAAAGAAGGCGCCAAGGCCCCGGTGTCCCGACCGAATCGTGGCAGAAGCGCAGTGTCCCTGCTGCGATTCCACGTTTCCCCCACGCCTTGTGCGAACACGTTTTGCATCTCCGCCTTGGCGTTTCGCTCCTTTGGCCCCACCGCAGCTTGAATTTTGGCAATACAATCAAGTGTTCGGACGGGCGGAGGGCCAAAGCGTTGGGCCAAATGGAGCAGTCGGAGTGTGCGTGGTGCAAGGACATGGCGTCATGCGTTGCCAAGCGACCGAAGCTTCTGAGCCGCACGCCGACATTAGCGCCTCTGCCACCGTGGCACCCCGGCACCCCGGCACCCTGGCACGCCAAAAAGCTGCCGAGACGGCATTAGTTGGGGTGGCGGTGTTGGTCTTTTTTTTGAATTCTGTATTTGAGCCCCACTTTGGCAGCGCGTGCCGACGGCAAAAGGGCGCGTCGCATTTCAATTCTGGAATTCCACTGCGCTGTGCCGGCCGCACTTTCGGTGTTGGAATTCTCGCTTCTCGCTGTGGCCGCCTTAATTGTGTGACAGTTCTCCTGCGCTTCCACAGCCATGCATTCGACGTCCACCACCCTGCCATCCCGCCAACACCGGCCAACCTGCACGGCCAAAGCATTCATCACGAAGCCGGCGTCTGACGCCCGGTGCGTCCAACACATTGGTGGCCGCTTGCCTCTCGACCACATCATGCTTGCCATCCGAGCATAGCCGCGCAACCGTCCTCCTCACCATGTCGCTCTGTCCGCGTGCTGCCGCTCAGGCTCTCCATTCTCCGCCAGAGCTTCACCAGCACGAGTACAAGCAGCACGCCGCCTACTTTGATCCACAAGATCATCCGCACTACACCCTCCATCCATCCTCACGCTTCGGCGCCGATAACGAGCCGCTCCTCGAGTCGAGTGCGCCCTCAGACGACCATCCCAATATTGCAGGCATCCGCTCGCCTCAATCGCTCCACTCGCTCTTGGCGTGCCGTCTCGCTCGCCTCGTCAGCTCAGCCGTCGCAGCTTCATCATCATCGTCATCATCCTCGGCCACCGGCTCAAGTGCATCCTCGCGCCCCTCGCGCAAGCGCTGGCTCCCCGCCCTACTCCTCCTCAACTTGGCCGTCACCGTAGCCGCGTTCGTCGCCGCCTGCGTCCACTTCAACACCTTCACCACACTCTTCCTCTACCTCGCCCTCCTTATCGTCGCATTCCCCATCTTTTCGCTCACCTTCCTGCTTCTCAACTCCAACTCGGCCAGCTACAAGCTTCGCCTCCCTCAATTCTCGCCCTTCTCCTCCCCCGACTTTGAGCAACCCTCCTTCCGCTTCTCGTCAAATTCGCAGCCACCCACCGCTGCATCCACCTCGCGCAGATCATGCCGCTCCTTCCGCCTCGATCGACTGGCACGCTACGTCCAGTACGTCCTTGCCAGCCTCTGGTTCCTCGCGCTGGTAGAATGGCTCTTCTTCCAGCCCTTCTTCGACACAACCAGCCCCTCGGCCTCCGATGACTTGGCCATCTTCCTCAAATCATCCCCCGCCTCTCGCATCGCACCGCCTCCACAGCCGCTCAAAGTATTCATTGCATCCAACCTGTACAACAGCCAAGACATCCTCCCCACCTATTCCGCATCGCTCAAGGGCCTTGTCCACCACCTTGGCGCGCACAACGTCTTTGTCTCCATCTACGAGTCCCACTCCACCGATCAGACCAAGTCCATGCTCTCCCAGCTCGACGCCGACCTCGCACACCTCCACGTCGACCGCCAGATCGCGCGCGACGACGGCGCTGCACGCATGAACAAGTCGTCGCCCGTCCAGGATCGCATCGAGTTCCTCGCCAACGTACGCAACCTCGCCATGCAACCGCTCGCCCAGTCCGCACACGCGCACAACTTCAGCCACGTCCTCTGGATCAACGACATCGTCTTTACGCCACAAGACGCCGTGCGCCTTCTCAACACCAACAACGCCCACTACGACCAGGCGTGCGCCATGGATTTCATCGGCAACGGCTTCTACGACACCTGGGTCACCCGCGACGCACAAGCACAGACGCTCAAGCGTCAGTGGCCCTACTTTAAGCAGCCGCACGACATCGACGCCATGCGCCAGGGCACGCCGTTTGTAGTCAACTCGTGCTGGAACGGCATGTCTGCCTTTGATGCAAAATGGTTTGTTCCGCCCAAGTCGCAGTCTGCACAGCCGGCGCAACCGCCGATCCAGTTCCGATCCTCTTCGACGTGCCTCTCGTCCGAATGCCAACTCGTCTCGTACGACATCCATCGCGCCACGCATCCCAAGCGTCCCAACATCCTCATCAACCCTGCCGTCAAGGTGGCCTACACCCACCGCCACTACCGGCTGTACAACAGTATCCTGTCGTGGCCGCTCGTCCGGCCATGGCGCATCGTGTGGCGCGACTGGATCGCCCACCGCCTCTTTGGCTGGCTCACCGAGTCGCGCAGATGGCCCAACGAGTGCCAGCTCAAACAGCCTTGGTGGAGCACCGAACCTGCCAGCAAGCGTAAAACACCGAATGTGTAAATGTAACACTGCAATGTCACTGCACAGGTTAAACCTCCGCGTGATGCTACCACGTTCCCGTGCAGTGCAGCAGCGGGCTTGATAGCGATGTCCGAATATCAAATTGCGCCAGCAGAGTCACTGAGGCGCTGTGGTGAGGCGGTCACCTCGGAGCGAGGCGCGGTTCCTGGCTGGAACGTGCTCCTGCTCGCTTGGCCACTCATGCGTCTCAGCGGCAAGAAGATTCGTGCAAAATCGACTTGGGCAGGGCCCTAAGTGAGCCGTGTGATTGACAGGGTCCAAGCCGGCGGGCCGCACCTGTCCACCAAAGAGCCAATGCGCACCAAGACCAACAGCTAGTCCACCAGACCACAGCCTCTCCGAACCGAACGGCACGTTGCCAATGGACGTGCACGATCCGAGATCTGCGCTGCTTCCAAAGCCATTCCCTCCTTGAATCCTCGGCGGCACTCAGTCGTTCTCACGAGATTTTGGTCGTATATAATGCAGGCGACAGCCCAATGATCTGGCTTTCCATAAACCCAACGACTTTGTCAAGAAACAATGGTGTTTGCTAGGATGCGCTCGCTCTGTGCTGTGCTTGCGGTGGCCTTGACGTTGGGTGGCGAGGGTGTTCTTGCCCTCGTCCCGGCGTTCAAGCCCGCGCTGCCACCGACGCTGCCACCGACGCTGCCACCGGTGCCCGCCAACCTCCCAAGCGCGCCTGCCAACACAGGTGCGCATGGAGCCGTGCCTGCCTTGCCCGCAGGGATCCCCGCGCTCCCTGCACCGCCCCAGTGGGCGGACGCGAGGCTGAACGACTACCGCCCGTCCAAGGTGCGGCTTGCGTACCGCGGCGATACGGGCATGGCGGTGTCGTGGTCGACGCATCGTCAGCTGCCCGTGCCAGCGGTGCTGTACGGCAAGACACCGGCAGCGCTCACGAGCATCGCGACGTCGACCAACTCGGTGACGTACAACACCAGCTCCTACTACTCGAACCACGTCGTCTTGGACCACCTCGAGCCGGGCACCAAGTACTACTACTTACCCATCCTCGGCGATCCGCTCCGCGATGTGCGCTCTTTCACCACCGCCAAGCCGCGCGGCGATGAGGCGCCGTACACGATCGCAGTGGTCGCCGATCTGGGCACCATGGGCTCGCTCGGCCTGTCGGACCACGTGCCACCCGGTGCGGCCAACCCGCTGAGCACGGGCGAAGTGACGACGATCGAGCGACTCGGCATGAACAAGAACCGGCACGACCACATCATGCACGTCGGCGACATCGCCTACGCCGACTACTGGCTCAAGGAGGTGGTGCTGGGCTACATCAACGGCACCATTGCCGCCGGTCCCGAGCTGTACGAGCGGATCAACGAGGAGTTCTACGATGAGATGAACGACATCACCTCGTCGCTGC